TGTAGTAAGAAAGGTTTTTGAAAAATGGGTATTCCAATGTAAAGCGCATTGAGCTACTTTTTTTGGAAATGCGCTCTATAAATGTTATATATTATTATTATTATTAAATGCGTTCTTTAATGAGCATGAAAGGTATTGAGCCAAAAAACAAAAATTCAACAAAAACTCCCAAACCTGCGGAAAAACGCCAGTTTCCTTATTTTGATTATTTTGACGAGCGCCAGATTTCACCACGCTGCCTCACATTTATAGCCTTCTTACTTTTGTCTATTCATGTGAAAAAAATTCTAGCTTATTTATTAATTTGCTAATGTGCACATAACTGCGTGTACTGACAATTTTTCCTGATTTAGACAGATTAGAAAAAAATTCTTTCTGAGAACAATTTTCTTTCTAAATTTACAATTCAATTTTTCAAAATCAATGCACAGACTTTCCAGCTTAGGCAAAGATAACAGATAAAATGAAAGGATAAAAGAAAGGAGGAAGATTTGCCACTGCAATTATTCAGATTTTGGCCACTTTGCACATAAAAATATATCGCTGACCAACCCGCAATGAATGTGCAGTAGGACAGTGGTTGAGCGAACAAAATGCACAGTGTGGCAAGTTTCTAATTCGACTTATAGCTAAGAATTACCATATATATCCTAACTCATTCAAGAAGTTATGGAGGAAAGTATGGATCTTTTGCTATGGAGTACCTATAGACATACACTATCGTAATTTTTTTGCATGTATATATGGCTTCAAAAATAGATTGAATTAATAAATTTATGATGAGGCCACAAGTACAGAACATTAGAATAGTAGAAAGTACAGATTTAAAACCAGGAAGATTAGAAGCAATGCAGAAAGGGCCATTTTATTCTTTTGATTTCGTAGCCCATAGCAAATTCAGTAGTTTTGACACCTTTAATCTTCACAAGCGGTCGGGGGACAAAAACGACCCAGAGAGTCCAAGAATTGTTGAAGCTGGCCAGCCAAACATGCCTCCGACCTCAACCCTAAGATAATCTAAATTTATCAATTCTTACAACATATTCTACTGTCGATATTTCATTGATTTCAGAATTTTAATGTATGTGACATTTCAAACTTTCTATCCCCTCCAAGTACGTCGTGGGTCTTTTTCGACCCATATGTAATACATAGGAAAATATATCGCAGATTGTTTTGTTCCCATACATGTAATGTACAGAAAATCAAGATGTAGAGATAATGACTTTCAACACTACTGTAGTACTTCCAAAAGATCTAACAGACTAGACGATAGTGTAGATCTATAGGTACTCCATAGCAAACAGACTCGCTCTGATTGAGTCCACGAATATCAAATCCGTTCGTCCGCTCACCCCAACTCTACAAAAGAATCTATCAGCACTTCTCTTAAGTTTTATCAACTCTATATCCCCTACAGTGGTACTTATAAGCAATGAATTAATTGATAACAGTGACCAAATTAGAAAACAGACCTACAAGATTATGAAGCAACAAGTATATAGCTCGAAAGTGACCTTTTTTTATATTGTTCTACAAAAAGATTCCGGAGAAATCCCCTGAGGCAGTCAACAAGTTTTTTCTAAAACCAAGCTTCATGCTTGCATTTACCTTTCACTTGCTTCAGGACTTTCCCCGCTCAAAACAGGCTGAAGTCGTCTCCTTTTGCAATGATGTTCTAAAAGGAAAAACAAAATATATAAATAACTTGAGTTGACCAACTTCGATTTCTCATACTCATACCAAAAGAAAATAATTTTTTTTAAAAATCTGTCACTACAATTAGAGGAGTCTAACATTATATGGTCGCTTTTAAGCACAAGGGGCTATCCTTAAAAATGCCGTTTTGAGAATATCGAAGGTAGTTTTTGCACCTTGTTCAGTTTCTTTAACAGACAAGGAGAGTTTTCTCTATAACTAAAGATACACACCAATGAAACCAAACGTTTATAGAAAGGGCAGTGCCCACTTTTGGTGTAGGTCAAGATTTCTGGAAAAACCTGACATCAGGGTTAGCCCACTTGTCCTTAGAAACGACCATATATCTCAGTTTCACTGAATATCCACAAAATTTCAGTGTCACTGTTTACTACAGATCTTCTTGTCTGTGAACGTATGTGGTCCACTCTAAGTTCTCAAATTCTCAAAGGTACTCCCATTCCAGTCTTCTTCCACCACTTTTTCCTTCCTATCTGCTCTCCCTTTTAACCTGATCTTTTCCCCACAGAAAAAAAGGAACAACTTTGTAGGAACAGCTGCAACAGTTTTTGTGTCCAGTCCCAGTATAATCCATTGATCTAAAACAGCCATGTCACTTCACTCCTCTTACTGCATTTACATTTCTGACAACAAAGCCGCTCTGTTCATTCTCTGCTGCTTTGGGGTCTGACTATGAGTACCAAAAAAAAAAAAATCTCTGTTTCCCATTCAGCCTCAAAGAATCACTAATTAGGATCTCAAAATGAAAGTAATGAAAAAACAGGATAGAGAAAAAATACCCCCAAAAAGTGAATTAATGACTATTACAGATTCAAACTCTATTGATTGTTTCTTACGACCAAGCAATAAAATCTCACTTCTCAAATTGGCTGCCTTAACTTATTCTTCAAACTTTAACATATTCAGTGCTATGGATGAGAATACTCGCAAAACCTGGGCCCGACCTATATACTAGCGACGCGTATTCTCTCATTCTGCCTCGCTATCTCTATATAAAGAATTACTCTATCTAGATCTAATTCATATCAAGTTATTTGAACTAACCGTGATACATAGGTCAAGGAGACATTATTTCCGCTCAAACAGCCACTGAGCCGCTATTTTTGATTGATTTTCCTGGGTAGACCTAATTTCTTGTTGCCATAACGAAACTGCCCAGTATACGAGGGAGTTCACTGCTGGAGCGTTCAGCATTGAATGAGTTAGAGATATTTAGAGGGTACAAATTGATAGATCTATATCAAAATGTATCCTATTCATTAACATGTCACAAACACACAAATATCACAGAAAAGAAAACGACAACTCAAGCTCCACGGCTTCAGTGTAACAAAACTGCTATGTAGTCATTAGGTACACTTAACATGGATCTATAACTACTTTGTCTAAACCTGAAAGAACATAAATCATTTCCCCCTTAATTTTTTTTTATCCCTGAGGAGCAAGAAGTTTCTTTAAAATATCATCAGCATGGCCTGAGGAGAAAGTAAATTAACATAAAATGAGGGAAAGAAATAACTCATTGATTTGGCAAACATACTTGAACTTCTCCCTCTTCTCTGTCTCACACACACAAACACATGCATGAACATGCGGTGATTAATGAAGTGAATGAATATTGCTTGGTAACCTTTCCTGTCACCGTTATTTCTGCCATAGCACTCTGTACTAAAATTAAAATGAGCAGGGAAAAAGATGTTGTTATGACCCCTGATTTTGTGGTCCTGACAGTTAAGTTGAACTTCCAATGAGACGATCTTTTTATCACTCCGCTCCATAGCTGCTCTTATTAAGTCTTATAGTCTTTGTAATTTTATTTTTTTAAATTATCAGAGCTGGGTGCACTGCCGTGTTCACAACAAATTCCACGACCCCCACCAACACATTTCCCCATTTTCAAAATCATAAGTAAAGATTCTGTTCCTCTATATTTGCACCATGACACTTTCACTTTCAGAACAGATGTTCCTATCATTACTGACAACAAAGGCTCATGTTCCACCTATAATCCTCAATATGTACATTCAGGTTCCACTAACTTGATGGTCAGGCCCAAGGACTTCGTTCTAACCAGTTTCACTGTATACTGGCACCATCTGTAATTCTTGAAAACCAAACAGACTGACTTCTGCAACTAGCATCTGTGGTGTAGTGGTTAGACACTTTGCCCTTGCATGCAGAAAACCTGAGTTCAATTCCTGTGTGTGGAGCATTCTTATCGAGTATCTTAGTAACCTTATAGTCTTTCTACTGGGATGTTGTATACCTTTTAGCCTAGGTTGGCCCTGACAGGCAGGGTTGAAGCCAGCCTCCTGAATGATCTCAATTGTATCTCCGGGACTTGAAAAACTTATGATAACAAAAAGATTTCGGCAGATATATTAAAATTGAAAGTATTAATATTATCATCATTTTAATATAAATATATCAGGTTTATTACCTTCTTCGTGTGCAGCTTGTACAGTGTTGGTGTCAGCTTTGGGTGGTTTCAAGCTCTCAATTCTTCGTTCAGCATCAATGTTGCCTTCATTTTGAAAACTTGTACCTTTCACAGCAGCCCCATCGGCACTAGTAAATTCAGCAAACATGTCTTCAGAAGCAGATCTTGACGCATTCACTGAGAACTTTGATTCCCACTGAAACACTTCATCATTTTCACCACTGTGAGCTTTGTGAGTGTCTTTCCAGAGTGACTGGGCCCCAGTCATTGCGTCCTCCGATACTTGTAGGTATGTGCCTGGTGCCGCCACGAAGCCTGACACAGGTTTTGGTTTGGGCTCTTCACCTTGGTGGTGTGAACACTTTGTGACATTAACCAAAGTTTCCTTCTGGTCAGGTTTGGAACCTTTTATAGATTCTGAATGATCCGGTAGGCCTACAGCCTGAGGAATCTCACTTTGATCCTCAATCCCCAAAGATTTAGCTTCTTCTGAAGCCTGAACACTTTTCTTGGAAGCAGAGATGAATCTGGAAAAAATGGCTTCGTCTTTCAATAGCTTTATCTGTCCTCCAGTTGATCTACCAATTTTTTTAAAATCCTCAGCAAAGAAAACCTTAGCCCGAGTCGTTGCTTCTGATGAAACAATGATCCCTTTCCCGGCAGCAGTTGTGAAACCTGACCCTAATTTCCCTTTAAAAAATCTGTATTTGTCCCTGCTGTCCATCTGTCCACATAGACTTGCTGTCAGTCATAACTTCGGCCGACGCTAGAGCAGAAATCCCAGATGCAGTCGTGAAACTTGGCAGTATTGTTTTCTGTACTTCTAATGAAGGAGGATCTCCACATTTTGTGAAACCAGTGAGACATTCGTTATTAACAGGTCCAGAATCGTTCATAGGCAACGAAAAATCTGATGCACTTTGAAGCATCTCATCGCTCTTTTGAGCGTTATTTTGATCTTCAGTCAACAAAGATTTGGCAAGTGGCAATGCTTCAGCAGAAATTTTAATTTCCTGATCACCAGACATTGGCTTTGTTTCTGAAACTTCCAACTGTGATCTTCTGTCCGTCAAATCATCACATTGTTTTAGCATTTTATCTAGAGCTACAATTTTGGCACCAATGTTTGTCTGCTTTGTACTACTAGACTGACACAAGTCACTATCCACCTGATTGTTGGATATTGCAACAGTTTTAGGAAGTTTTGGGGGTTTAAAAGGTCTGAAACCTTTGTAATTTTGGTCAAATTTGCTATTAACATTGTTAGTGCGGGAATCATTCACTAGCTTTGTTTCTTTTCGCGGCTTTACCATACTGGTGAATAAAGGTCTCCTTGTCAAACAAGTGCTGCCCAGAACAACTCCTTTTCGAGGGACTTTACCTCCCTCTTCACCTTTCACTGTCTCATCTCTCACAGGCTCAGAGGGCTGAGTTTTCTTTGGAGCCGTTGCCCTCAGAGAAAAGGCACTGCTACCAGCTGTCTGGATTCCAACATTCTGCACAGTCATTGATTCTGCATTCAATTGTCTTCTCTCCACAGAACAAAGGGTATTGTCCTCTCTCCCTTTGAACATTTCTTGAGCCGGAAGGACATTTGCTGCAGCTGCCTTTGTCTCCAGTGGCTTTTCCTCCGTCGTCTCATCACGAAAGAAATCTGAAAACCTGGGAAATCCTGGGAACAGACCAAAAGTCACAATCACTTAGAGACAACAATGAAGGGAAAAACTGGTCAGCTTTAGTGAAGTAAGACTTTTCAGGCGCTTGTAACTGCATAAGGTCACACGAGCACGTGAAACACAAGTTGGTTGCATTCACAACAGTTGACAGCATAGCTTGGCTTTGGTTGACAGCATAGCTTAGCTTTAGTCATGATCAGATTTAAAAGTTAAAAATTCATGGTAAAAGTTCGGTTGTAAAAATCACAGCAATTTACATTAGATTAAAAATAACAGTATATTCCATTTTCAAAATATCGAAAATTTTGTTGGGATCAACGACGGAGAACAAAACTTGTAATTTTGTACAGTTAAAATACTTCCTTCGGGTCTTTTAAAAGTCTGGACATTCTGTTAAGATGTGTCTAATGGTGAAATCTGTGCCACATCTAACACAGAACAGTTTCTCATCTCCTAGCAGAAGGTATTTATGTGTCAGGGAGGTGTGTCAGATATGCAATCGAGTAAAAATGACGTAGTCTCTTCTGGAGAGACCTGAAGATTTTTGTGGACCCAGTTTGGGCATGACATTTTGAAGCTTATTGGTTTGGTTTTTAAAAAATAAGTTTTACAGCCCTCGCAACCGCATAAGGTGATATGAGCGAGCAAAGCACAAATTGGTTGCATTCACAACAGTTCACAGCACGGCTTGGTTAAGGGCAATAATTTGATGAAAATGTTAAAAATTCATGGTAAGGTTTGGTATTAAAAATAATAGTAGCTTACATATAATTCAAAATAACAGTATATTACATTTTTTTGTAATTTATAAAACCAAAAATTCTGTTGGAATCAACTGCGGAAAACAGATCTTGTAATTTTGTGCAATTAAATACTTCCTTCGGGTGTCTCCAAAGTCTAGACATTCTGTTAAAATGTGTCAAAGCCCCGTCCTCCCCAAGAACCCCAAAGCGGTTTGCAAGTGGCACCTCAAAGGTGGGTGTCCCAGGGGTAGAATGGACCTTTGTTTTAACAGTCTTCACTGATCCTTTGGGTTTGTTGATTGAGAGGGGGGTGAGGTCAGCAGTAGAAGTACTGGCGCACCTCGTGACTGTTCGGACTGCCTTCACATAAAATAAATAAATAAATAGCATTTATCATGCTGCCCATTTCTATTTTCAAAAAAAAAATATGCTCAAATGCGCATTACATTTACAAACGGCTGCTGTGGAAGTTCCCTGGTAGAAGGGAGGGCAGAAGCAACCTGGCTAGCTACACCTGCCTCCACGAACCGAGACTTTTGTCTACATTGGGAGCTAGGGAAAGGTCATAATGAAGTTCAGAATCTACGGGTGTGTGTTGGTTTAGTTTTGACTCAAAGGCTCCCCATCTGCCACCGAGCCCAAGGGGACACACTGCCTGGATAACCGGAGCTGTGTTGAGGCTACCCCGAAGTTATCTTTCCACCAGTGTACTAGAACCTCCTGTTAAGATTGACCCAGGCACAGACTGACGGGGTCTCAGCGCCCAATCGACTGAGAGGCATGGGCCATGAAACCTCCCC